TTCCACAAACAGTCATTGGCCATTGACTTTGGACAGAGCTTGTATAAAGGCCTTAATCTTGTCCCCTGGTGTGAGCTCACTAATCCGTCCTCCTGCTCTCCCCACTCTGAGCAGATTATGGCCTCTGTTTTCCAGACTAGATGTTGGCATTCTCTATTGAAAAGACAAGCCAGACTCCTGGAAATCGCAGGGGACATCTAGGGTTCCCTCCCTGTTCGTCCAGCCTCAGGCCATCTAACCAGAGTGGAGCAGCAGCTTAAGGGGACCCAGTGAGCTGAGGACCCCAACCCAGCAGACCCCAAAGGAAGCAGCTAACACAGTTCCTAACATTGAAAACAATGGGTGAATGTATTTAGAATTCGTCTGCAAGAAATGAGATGTTTTGCACTGTTAGGACAAGAAAGGCATCTGAAATTTCATTCGGATTAATAATTAGGAGCTGTGGCAGGCAGTGCCCTAACCATTCAGCAGAGAACTGAAGGGGAAGGAAGATGCAGGGCCTCTCTACCATCTGAGCCTTGACAAGACTTAGCAAAATCCAAAGTCTGCCAGAAACTGGCGAATGTCTATCAAAAGTAGAATGAATTAAAAATTATGGCCTTTCCTTCGACGTAGTATGAATGATGATGAGTGAAATGAAGTGAAAATGGATTTTGCAAAATGACATGTAACAACAAGGCTGAATCATACGGCTTGAAATGAAAGGAGCCAGACACACCCACTCAGAAAATGCATATTGTATGATGCTATTTATATAAAGTCCCAAAGTGGGCCAAACGAACCTGTGGTGTTCGAAGTCCAAAGAGTGCTTTCTGCGGGGGGAGGGGTGGGTAGAGATTGGGAGAAGACACCAGGGGGGCTTCTGGGGTGCTATTAGTCTTCTCTTTCTGGACCTGCTTGTAACATGAGCTTCTTCACTTTGTGATAATTCGTTGAGCAGAATACTTATGATTTGTACATGTCTTATGTACGATGGTCTTTAAAGAAATCCAAACCTTGGATTGGGCAGCCCTGTCCATGGGAATTGGGCTTGCAATTGCTAGGGAGGGCCTCAGAATTCCTGCCTCGAATGCTAGGCCCATTTCTAGAGTCAGGGTAAATGATTCAAAAATCTGAGCAGAACATTAGTGGCAAATGGGGCAGGGCAAGGTAGGGACTGGACTCGCTTTGGGGATCACCTGATACCAGGTCTTAGGAGCAAGTCCCACAAAATGGTAGAGAGGAGATGGGTGGGTTTTAGGATTTGCTCAATTCTGGGCGCACCAAAATGTGCAGATTTGTAGATAGTGGAACCTCAGATCTGTTATTTTGAACTCTCAGGAGGCCACACTGCCTCTCTCCTTGGGGTCAGCACAGGCTATGGCCGCTATGGGACCGTGGCTCTGATTTTCCACCCAGGGGTGTGGCTCTTATTTCTCAGAACAGCAAGCTACCAGGGCAAAAATTGCCAGATTTCTTTCTCAACTCTTGACCTGGGTAAAGACACATGGCTTAATGGAAAAGGGCAATGAAGGAAAGCTTTAGGAAAGAGAGGGACTGAACAGGCTCGGCATTGATAAAGAAGGGGGCGGTCTGAGGGGGTCACACCACAGTGGGACATAGCAGGTGGGAAGGCATGTCTGAGTGAGATGATGGGAAGACGCTAAAGATGGGAGAGTCCGTGAGGATTCAGAAGCGAGGAAGCCAGGCAGCTGGTCATGGGCAAGGTGTGGGAGCGGCTGACTTGCTACAAACCTGCTCTTTGATTCCAAATCTTCTATTTCCAAACCATAGTCACACCCAGGGAGCTAGTGAGGAGTGAAGCCAAGATAATTGGCCTGGGGCAGAGGTGTGGGGCTGACTTTTTCCTAATCGGACTCCAAATATTTGGAGCCATTTGCCACTCTCGCTCTCACTAAAAATTAGGTGTTCCGCTCCAACTGGGATGAGTCATCTTGATCAAGGTCCTGTTTACAATGGGAGAGTGGATTCAGAGAGGCAGACACCAAGTTCAAATCCAGCCTAGTGTCCGTCAGCCATAAAACATGGTCAGTGCCAGCAGAGGTGGGCCTAGTGCTGGGCAAAGCCAGCAGGTGAGAGCAGGACTCACATTCAGCACAGCTCCCTCAGGAGTGAGCAGCTGGGATTCTCTTTCTCTCTGAAGGTTTACGTACCCGACCGTGTTTGTTTTGCTGGAGGGCAGGATGTGGAATGAGCGGGAAAATCGTTACCGAAACACAATAATGACACCACAATTCATACGTCTACTTCCCCGGCTTAGGTGTTTCAAGGCATCAGAAAGTGCGCATGGCTAGTAACCAAATTGCAGGATAGTCAAAGAAATCCTGGAGAGAGAAAAAAAAATGGTTTCTTTTAGTTCTGAAAGCATTTTTATATGAAAACGTTACCAAGGAGAGTTTCTTAGAGCCTGGATCAGTGCACCAGAAAGTATAAGCGTCTGCTCTTGCTGCCCCCACCCTGTTCCCCATCCAGGCATTTCTTTTGCAAAACACGTTGAGTCCCAATTCTGAGGACAAGTCTGAATAGCTCGTGGCCTCGCCCGAAGGTGTGGTTTAAAACCTGTCGCTCTCAAGCATTTTGATGCAATGGCCCGAAGAGCAGGGCGCTCTCAATACAAGCACATTATAGGACTTTGCCAGCCAGTGGGAGGAATTGCCATCCCCAAGCCCAGCTAAGATCACCAGATCTCCAGGACAAAGAACTTGTCTGGGGCCACTGGGCCCTAAACAAGCTGGGTTAGTGGCAGTCAAGTGTTTGAGATGCCCAGGCGCCAGCGGGGCGGGTAACTGAGATGACCGCTCTGGGCCCTGGCTCTCCTAGCCCCGTCCCGCCCAAGGCTTGGCGGGCCGGCTGCTGTTGTCTCCGTTGTCTCTCCCCACCGAAGGGGGAATAATCGCACCGGCGGTCACAGACTGTCCGCCAGTCGGGATGATTCCTCGGGTGTGCTCAGATTTGCCAGATTTCGCTCTCATGTGAGTTTACTTACTAACCTGCTCTGTGCTTCAGCTTCCGCATCTGTTCAAGGGGGCTACCGGTGGGGCTATGTGAGGGTTAAATGAAATGTAAGTAATTCGGGTACTTAGCACAGTGTTCAGCCCCTAGTAAGTGCTCCATGCATAAGCCCATTATGAGCCTTTAACAGCTTGATTTCAGTAGATGATTCTGAGGAGTTAGATGGACCAGGTGGTTTAGAATGTAAAGTCTGGAAAAGCAAACTGGCCACCTCCCAGAGCCCCAATGTAAGAGAATCACTGAGGACACCCATATATCCCAACTCTTTATTGTCACTAAGACTTCATTTCTGAGAATGTTGGGGGAATGGGAGCAGGTGGACAAAGCTTTCAGGAAGCCCATTAGGGGGTGTCCAGCTGGCAAATGGGGAACCGCCCTCTGACCAGGAGAAATGGGCAAAGGCTGGCCTTTTGGGGGCTCACCAGGTAATACTCAGTCCTTTCAAATGTCCCCAGATGAGCAGCCTTGCCCCTGGGTATTCTTCCCTTGGTTTAAAAAAAAATTTTTTTAAGGAAACTGTATGCTTTGTTTTTCCAAGCAGTTGCACTCAGTTCATCCACTCTGTTGTTTTCTGAGAGCTGCGTGGAGCCTAAAGAAAAGGACATTTAGAGGCTCTGAAACTGGTTCCAAGGGTAAAATAATATTAATAATAAATTTCTTGAAACTCTCAACCCTGCAGGTTCAATCTTACTTAACACTCAGCACCCAAGGGACTTGAATTATTACTGGGTTTGTCATTTCTTGTTTATGGGGCTTTTCCAAAGGGGAGAGAGAAACCACATGGAAGTTCACCAAAGTTCACCGCGTGGTTCATGGCCATGCCTGTAGCCAAGATTTCCAGATCCTTCTCAGCCTGCACCTCCCGAGGAGGCCCCCCCAACCCCCAACTGTGTGGCATCAATGAGGCCAAGTTGGAGTTGTGCTGAGTGCACCGACGTTCCACTGCCTTGCGTTTGGCTGTCAGAGCAAAGCCCTCCCTGGTGTGGCACCGCGTCCCTTCGCACCCACAGGGCGATGTGTTGTTAGGTGACTGCTGGGCGGAAGAGAGCAGTTTTCTTTGGGGCGTGCGAAAGGAGCCCACTGCCATGGCTGCCCTTGAATGTTGTCATCTGATGACCTCTGCTGGTGGGATTTCCCCCAGCATGTGCGCATTGATGCCTCTGAGCCAAGCCATCGGACCATGCTCCTCTCCCGGCATTCCTTCCCTCCTGGCTTGTCCTTCACTGAAAGCAGGGAGCAAGAGTCCTTTGCAAACTCCCAGAATCAAGGGGCGCCTGGGCCCGACCCGACTGTCCTCTCTAAAGCTGGCCTGCCGCCCTCTCTTCCAGTGAGCCTCTGACTCCGCGGACTCAGAAGGCAGCCAACATGACGGGAAACGCGCGGTCCCTGTGTGTCTGGGTTTTGCTCCTTTTTCTCCACATCCGTCTTCTGAACGGTAAGTACGAGCCGCCCTGCTCTCTTTGGGGGGCGGGGGGGGGGGGTGTTTGCTGGGAGGATGGAGCGTCCTCGCGGTCCTCTCGCCGTGCAGTTCTGAGAACTGAAAGTGTGCTGCTAGGACGTTGTTCGCAGTGTATTGGGCACCATTCGTGAGTGCAGACCGTCAGTGCAAAGCTTGTCTCCGAGCGGACCTGCGCCTTCATCCCGGGGTGCAGCGAAGCAGCTCCGCACCGCGACCGGGGCTGCGGCCCGGCTGGCAGCCACCAGCTGTGGAACCTCAAGCCCTAACCTAATCGCTGTGGGTTCCCACCTTTTCAACTTGAGGAGCGTGATGGTGCCTCCACCTCAAATGAAATACTGTGAAAAATCTTAGAAAACCTATAAAGAGAGAAGGGAGTGTTGTTGCCTGGCGGGAAATGGGTGCAGCCAACTCGACCGCCTGTGCTAATGGGGCCAATGAGTTCACAGCTACCCCAGACTGTGCACCTGCGTGCCTACCCTTCATATTTCTGGGTGTGTATACTTTGGGGTGCCCCTGCGTGTATATTGACTTCTCCATATGGGCCTGATTGCAACTGCTTCTCTGTGTGTACCTGTGTGGGTGTCCGTCTGTATGTGCGCCTCTGTGTGTGGGTATATTTCTGAGTGTGTACCAGTGCGTACGTCTCTAAGCATGAACTTGAGTATACTTCTGTGCGTTTCTAATGCGGGCTCCGTGGACCTATGTGTGGGCCCGTGTGTAGGTGCCTATGTGGCTGTCCCTGGGTCTGTGTGCACTTCATGGAGGTAAGGCGACAGTCCATTCATTTTAACTGTCTCCTCTAAAGTGGGTGAAGGGAACATTTGATCACTTTACTGTCCTCTATGGAGTTTCTAGAGGTTCTGCCAGCAGCCAGTGAAATGTGAGAGACTTTCAGAGAGAGAGCAAAGGGAAGCAGAGATGGGGAGAATCCACGGGGAAACACTAAGAGCTCAGATCAGCAGCAGTGGCCTGTCTGCTCAGTTCTGAGCCACAGGGCTTGGGTTTTTTAAATAAACTTTTCTTTCTACTTCACACACTCCTCCCCAGCCATGATGAGAACCAAGCACAACCCAAGCCCTCGCATCAGCCTGTGACATTGCCCGAGAGGACGAGCAGTGTGACAGCCGTGGGCAGCGCGAGCGCCAGGCGGGCTGGAGGGCCGTTTGGGGGGGCTTGGAGCTGCGGTGCGGCTCAGCTGACCATCAGCCCGGCGGCCTCGGCCCAGCCTGTGAGATGCCATTCACTAAATCCTGCTTTCTGACCAGTGTTGCCTGGTGCCCACTGGCCCCATCTTTTGGATCCGCTGCTCCGCTAGAAGTTCTGGCCCGGGAGCCAGCATGAGGGGTGAGGAGAAAAGAGAGGGAATCCCTGCCCCCTAGTGGCTGAGACCCGCACCTGACAGCTCTCCTTCCAGCTCCTGACTCCAAACTAAGCTGCAGGCTCCCAGCTCAAAGGACTGACAGGGCCAACTCTCAGGGCCACACATGCCCTCCCGGACCTGGCAGATAAGGAAGAGAGGAGGGGCCAGCTCACCAAAAACTTCGGGGTTTAGGCAACTAAAACATTCTGTTCCCTTGACGTTGTATTTTCCACGTCACCTCTTTCAGACCTTCTAGCTTCCAGCTGGGCCTGGGCAGTCATCATGGTAGCTCCGAGCCAGGAGACCAGCTCCCCACTCCCCCACTTCTCTCTGTGGTTCCTGCCTCCCAGAAGCCATAGCATTGCAAGGAAGCCCATCGTCCCTCACCACATAAAAACCCAGGGAGAGAGAGGGAAATGGGAAAGAAAAGACACTGTGACCAGGATTCAGAAATGGGGGCGGGGGCAGTGGGGAGATGTACTGTGAGATAGGGTTACAGCTCAAAGTGGAGTGGAACTCAGGAAAAATGAAGGAGAAAGGAAGGAAAGGAGAGGGAGAGGAAGGAAAGGAGACGGGAAGGGGAAGGGGAAGGAGGAAGCTGAGGGAGGAGCACCCGTGACACAATGAATCACAAAAGTCCCTTGTGAGGAAATGACAGAAAGATGTAGATCAATGAGCAGAGTGACAAGTGCCAGAGAGCACTGTGGTAGCAAAGGGGGAGAATTCATTTTACTGCCCCCCTCATGCCGTGGGCGGGTACCAGCTGCATAGACTCCATGGGCTTACAGAAGGGAGCACACTCCTCAGCCCATCCTACTCCTGATGCTTACTCTCTGTTGGAATTTCGCAGTTTGTCACTTGATCCTAGATTGCTGTTATCTCCATCTCACACAGTACACACCACCACCACCACCACCACCACCACCACCATCTCTCCATTACCACTGCAAAGCTCTCTCCCTTTCTCGCGCTCTCTTCCTTCCTCTCTCTTTCATCCTCTCTTTCTGTTCCTCTCTCTCTCTCTCTCCCTCCCTCCCTCCCCATCCAGCCAACAAGGGGCAGCCCACGGAAGAGGGTTGTTAGATGCTAGCATTTTGGCATGTCTGAGCCTCCCACCCCTGGGCCTCTTCACCCAAGACCCCCTCACTGGCAGGGTCCCATAAACCTGCTTTTGTCACCAGCAGGATGATCGAATTCTTGAGTGGACCTTGAGATTGATTCCAGTAGCTTCTGGCTTTTTCTAGGACAGTCACCTCCTGGGAAGCCCAAGATCTCGAAATGCCGCTCCACCGAAAAGGAGACCTTCTCATGCTGGTGGAAGCCGGGGCCGGACGGAGGACTTCCCACCAACTACACGCTCACCTACCGCAAGGAAGGGTGAGTGTGCCCGCTCTCCAGGCAACGCAGGGCTGCTTCTGAGTGAGAACTCCCACACGGCCCCGGGTGGCCGCTAACAAGGCTCTTTCTTCCGGGGAAGGGACCCCAGCATCCACGTCCACATTCTCCTGTCATGTCCCTGAAGCTCCATCTCAATGTGCGTCAGCTCATCCGCCAGCTCAGCAATCCCACGTAGTGGCCCCATATCCGGAGTTTTGCTTTCCGGGGTTTTAGTGACTGGCGATCAGCCACAGTCTAAAAGTATTAAATGGACAATTCCAAAAAATAAACAGTCCCTACGTTTTAAATTTTGTGCCATTCTGAGTCACGTGATGAAATTTCACACTATCCTGCTTCAACCCACCTGGGATGTGAGTCATCCCTTTGTCATCCCCTCTAGCTACCCGCCTGTTAGTCACTTGGGTTATCAGATCCATCAAGTAGCCGGATAGTAGCCTAACGCTAAGTCACATGCCTGTGTCCTCCTCATTTCATCTCATCACATCAGCCTGTATCACCTCACTTCATCAGAAGGGTGAGTACAGTAGCATAAGGTATTTTGTGAGAGAGAGAGAGAGAGAGAGAGAGAGAGAGAGAGAGAGAGAGAGAGAGAGAAAGAACATAAATATAACTTTCATTATAGCATATTGTTATAATTGTTCTACTTTAATATTAGTTATTGTTGTTAATCTCTTACTGTACCTAATTTATAAAATTAAACTTTATCATAGGTATATATGTATGTATGTATAGAAAAACAACAGTATATATGTGGTTCGACGCCCTAGCATTCCAGGCATCTACTTTGGGTCTTAGAACATAGCCCCATGGATCAGGAGAGACTACAATAGCAATGTTTCCAATTGCCTGTCCCAGACTTAGGCTGCAGCCCAAGGTCCCATGTAAGTGTTGGCTGAGTGTTAGTTCATTTCAAATGCTTATCTGTAAGCCTGCTGCTATTTATAATTATTTTAGTAATAATTACTTTTGCAACATAAAAAGACAACCATGGAACATTAGCTTTTCAAACTAGTTTTGTGTCCAAGAAAATTAAAAGCCCTCTAGGAAGGTGAGGTTTTTCCCTTAGGAAATTGCTAATCCCAGATCCTTGATCTCCCAGAGGGTATATTTGGAACCCAGGTTGCAGGGCGGACTGAAAGAGGTCATCTGTGGGTGAGGATTTCGTTACCCCTCAGGGAGAGTCCCCTGGAAATCCAGGGAGAGCCATCTCCTTCCCCAGGGAAGCACTACTTACCGGTAGCTGCAGCTGGCCCACCGCCCAGCGCCTGCACTCTGTGTACACAGAGCTGTCAGCCTGTCTGGGGCCCACAGGGTGTCAAGTCACCCATTCAGGAGCTCCACTGGCAACCCGAATGGGATGCTCCTCCACACCTGTGGGGAGCGTCTTGCGTGGAGGCCCCCAAAGCTCGGGAGAGCAGACTGATGAGCCTCTTGGGCCTGAAATATCTTTCTTCACAGTCACATCACTGGTGCTGACTTGTGCAATATGAAATATGCTGACATCAGCTTTTATTCTCTTGCACCTTTTTTAAATGAAATGTAATTCAATCTTCATGTGCAACGAATGCTGCATGTGCATGCCCCCTGAGTGTTAGGTGCGGGGGAAGGTCCCTGTTTCCTGAGATGACCCAGGGGCGGGACCTCTGGCATGGTGGTGCCTTGGCTGTTGAAAGTTCCAGCATATATTGGCAGGGGGCATATGTCACAAAGCCCACCAGATACCATAGAAAGGAAGGGTTGATGAGAAGCAGAGTCAGCAAGCTCTGAAGTGACACTTCCACCCACTTCCCCAACATTCTCTCTCCCAGGGCACAAAGCTTGGGGGTGCCGTTCTTCAGCGCTGATCCCCAAAATCCAGTGGTATTGATCTATTAAGAAAAAAACTAGGCTCTTTTTACTACTTTCTTACTCCTAGTGTATAATATGTTGCAGAAATCCGTTCATCTATGAATGTCCAGACTACAAAACCAGTGGCCCCAACTCCTGTTACTTTGACAAGAAGCACACCTCCATTTGGACAATGTACGTCATCACAGTAAACGCCACAAACCAGATGGGAAGCAACTCCTCAGATCCGCATTATGTGGATGTGACTTACATAGGTAAGGGGATGGGTGAGGAATTTCTTACCCCATCACAGATCTACCAAGAGTCAAACTTCATTTTAGTCTTCCTGGCTTATGGATGAATCACCAGAGAGACAGATGAGAAAATTCACACTATTCTCATCAACTGAGAATTTTTATGGAATCATTCATGACAGTGTTTGGGGTCCTTGTGTTTCTCTTCTTCCCTTTGACCTTTCTTCCCATCCCCTTGCACCCAACAGGAGTGTTCTATTTGTGCTTCTCTTATCAATCCTTCCCTCCAGCCCTCCTCCTGCAATCAATGTCCCCTCCCCCCGAGGCGAGCTGGGACTTCTGTTCTCTCTCCTCCCGGAGGACAGAGCGGCTCACCAGAGTAGCAGCTCTTGGAGTTCACCTGCTTCTACACCCACAGGACCAGCTCCAACTGCTTTGCCCAGATTGAATTCTCAGTGTACACATACTTCTTAGCAACTGGAACTCTTCTTTTGCGAATAAAGAATTTGGGGGGTAAAGCATGTTGCTCGAACCGCAGGCTGACGGCCACAACCACACGTACCAGGTTTGCGGACCCCATCAGCAAAGCAAAACAAAATCAGCCCAAGAGCTGTTTCTTGCTTTGCATGGTCCACAGTGAGCTGCAGGGCAGAAGGCGTCACGGCAGTGGCCTCTGTGGTTTAGCGGCGATGGCAAAGGGAATCTTAGGGCAAGACATGGGTTAGCCAGGACTGGGGTCAGCCCTCATCTTTGGTAATAATCCAGGGAGAAGTATTAGACTCAGGTTACCTAAGATTTACCTAATGCCACCCAACAAGGGAAATTAGGCCCGGAATCTCAAATACGCACGTGCATGTCATTGCATTGTCATGTTATCAGTGGCTGATAACACCAACTGGCTCATATTTGAATGTTTTCTGCCCCCAGCAAATCATTGCAATGAGCATGGAGGTAGAAAGTGAGTTGAATCTTAGTTTAGGAAAATCCACAAGGTAACCCACTGACAAGTCAGAATACAATAAATTTCAGTCATATAAATGTACTTGAGATATGAAGTCTTTAAGATGCTAAATGCGAAATAATTTCTTCTTTATGGTTCTTTCCTGAATTGTGTTGCCCTCAAAGATTCAACTAGTATTTGAGAGCAAAACAGTGAAAGCAAGAAAAGTTTCTAAAATGAGTAACTGCTGTATCACTTGAAAGCAGTGATTCTCTACTGGGGTCTGTTTTGCCTCCCACAGATATTTGGCAATGGCAGGAGACACTTTTTAAAAAATATATATTTTACTGATTTTTTACGGAGAGGAAGGGAGAGGGAGAAGGATAGAGAGTTAGAAACATTGATGAGAGAGAAACATCGATCAGCTGCCTCCTGCACACCCCCTACTGGGGATGTGCCCGCAACCTAGGTACATGCCCTTAACCAGAATCGAACCTGGGACCTTTCAGTCTGCAGGCTGACGCTCCATCCACTGAGCCAAACCGGTTAGGGCCATTTTTTTTTATTATCATAGCCCAGGGAGGGGAGACGAGGGTATTACTGACATCTAATAGGCAGAGACCAGAGATGCCGCTCAGCATCCTACAATGCTCAGGTTGGCCCCCACAACCAAGAATTACCTGATCCAAAATACAGGTGATGCTGAGTGTGAGAAACGGCTTTAAAGAATTCACCCTGGACGTTGTACATGGACTTCTGCACAATATTTTTTTGATCAGAGGCATTTCTCAGAATTGTTTAACTTAAAACTTATATTGAGTAACTGATGTTTGCTTAGTGAGTGCATATAAAATAATCTTGCTTGGGTATTTACTTGGTAACATAGAAGCATTAGGATTAGTGGCAAATTTTCTGGCGTTCCTTTTGTAGGTAATTGCAGGTTATAATGTCAAGTACACCATAGCTACATTCACTCTTATGCCTGGTGTGGAGAGTGGGCTGAGGAGGTAATAAATGAAGAGAGAAAGTATTACTGACTAGCCAGACGGAGACTAGGATAAGGCAAGCCAGGGTTCTAGGCAGCTCACTCTCAAAGAGGCACTCACAGACTTGTACTTGAAGGAATATGAGAGTAAGTGCCTCATTTTTTTTAACATGGTAATATACACATAACATAAAATTCACCATTTTAACCATTTTAAAGTATGTAATTTACTGCTCAGTATTAGTTCATTCTCAATGTTATGCAACCATCACCACTCTCTAGCTCCAGAAAACTTTCATGACTCCAAATACCCATTAAGTAGTTATTCCAGATTTCCGCCCTTACTCCAGCTGCACTAATCTGCATTCTTTCTCTACAGATTTGCCTATTCTGGGTATGTTATAGATATATGGAGTCATGTCGTAGGTGGTCTTCTTTCACATAGTGTAATGTTCTCAAGATTCATCCATGTTATAGCCTGTATCAATACCTACTGCCTCCCTCTTTATGGCTGAATAATGTTTCATTCTATGGATATTGTTTAGCCATTCATCAGTTGATGGACAATTGGGTTGTTTTCACCTATTGGCTATTGTGAATAGAGCTGCTATGAACATTCATGGATGAGTTTTTGTTTGAACACCTGCCTTCATTTCTTTTAGTATGTTGGCTAGGTCATGAAATTGATGGGTGACGTGACTTAATATTTAACCTTTTGAGTAAGTTCCAGACTTTTTCCACAGCATTGCACCATTTCACATTCCCACCAGCAATGTATGAGGGAATGTGTCCAACACTCTCATCTGTTATTTTTCATTTCTTGAATTTCAACCATCCTAAGTGGGGATGAAATGGTATCTCATTGTGATTTTGATTTGCGTTTCCCAAATGACTGATGACACTATGGGTCTTTCATGTGCTTGTTGGCCATTTGTTCCTCCTGAAACTTTTCATCCTACATATTTCCCTTGCTTCAACCTGATCCCAACTCTGCTGACCAGCACCTGACATCAAATACAAGGTGTCTCTTAAGCAGGGTGGAGTGAAACAGGAAGTCATATAGTTTTGTGTTCAAATACCCCTTTTACTAAATATGGGATTTCTTTCCTATTTTCAGTTGAACCAGACCCTCCAATAAACCTGATTTTGGAAGTAAAACATCCAGAAGACCAAAAACCGTACCTGTGGATAAAATGGTTTCCACCTGCCCAGGTCGACGTAAGATCCGGCTGGCTCACACTACAATACGAAATTCGATTAAAGCCTGAAAAAGCAAATGAGTGGGAGGTGAGTCAACCACGAGCATTTGGAAGGAACCATGTCCTTTGACAAAGATTAAACCCTTGCTACGGGGAACAGGTCTTTCCTCCTAACTACTGGGCATCATGTTGCCCTCCTGATGCTGATGTCGAAGGGCCTTATCCCCTCCCTTGGGGTGGATGGGGTGCATCTTCACAGCTCTTTCAAGGCTAATCCCTTCTTTGCACTGAACAAGCTCTTCCACCAGGTTTCCAAACCACCTCCTTCAGGATATCATAGATCTAGACACCTATGAGAGTACTTCAGTGGCACTAAGTGGGAGGAAAAAATCTCAGTGTAAGCAGTCAATGGCCAGTGGCATTTTTATTCACTTTAAATTATTTTAATGTAAAGAAATAATACAAGAGGCCCTGGCTGGGTAGCTTTTTTGGTTGGCGTGTTGTCCTGATATGCCAAAGTTGTGGGTTCAATCCCCAGGTAGGACACATACAAGAAGCAGCCAATGAATGAACGAGTAAGTAGAACAACAAAATCAATGTTCTCTCTCTCTGTCTCTCAAATAAATGTTTTAAAAATAATAAATAATACAATAAATTATAGGCATTCTGATATTCCACTTTAAGTACTTTGGGTCAGCGGTCGGCAACCGGTGGTTCACAGACCAGTGGTGGTCCGTGAGGTTTGAATGGTTGGCAACCACTGCTTTAGATTGTCTCTTTTAGAAAGGAAACATTTTTAAACATAGCCCAAATAAAATCAGACATTGAAAATTAAATAAAATTTTTACATAATTCAAGTAGCCTGTCCGTATTTTAGTTCCTCCAATTGCTTCAAAAAAATGTCTTTAACAGCTAGTTTGTCCAGACCAGCATCCATCCAGGACAATGCACGTGACTGGTCATTAGTTATGTGCCTTCAGTCTCAGTGTGCTCAGTCCCGTAGAATGCTCTCTCTTTTGCATTAATCTGATTAATTCTTTGTGAGGCCATTTTGCTAATTTCTCTGCCCCTATATTTCCTGTAACCAGACATTAGATCTAAAGAATTGATTAGATTCGGGTTGGACAGTTTGGGGCAAGAGGACTTCAGAGGTGACATTATATTACTTCCTATTACATCATGTCAGGGGACACAAACCATCTGGTTGACCTCATACATGATGCTAAAACTGACCCCTGGTTTAGGGGTCAACCTGGTACCTGAATTGTAAAGTCACATTTAATTTGTGCACTATTGCATCCCAGTTCTCTAGTGGCTTTACTTGAATGATCCTTGAATCAATTACTTCTTCAGGGTTCACAAAATAACTATTTTATGGTGTTATTAACTGGTCACCTTCTGTAAAGTAGAATTTTGAAGGCAGTGAGGAGAGTGCGGAATATTTGTCTTTCTGAAATAGAGTTCCAAATGGAGAGGTAGAAAACCTGTTAATTTTTGTGTGAACAATGTTTCAGAGTGAAAAGGGATGGGCTGAGAGGGTAGAATGGTGAGAGCAAGGTATCTACTAAGTCTGATCGCCTGGCCTCACTCCTCCAATAGTTTCTTCTCTAAGGGAAAGGTCTGTTTCTTCAGAACATAAGCCAGAGTGACTTCTGTTTTCCTTGCTTCTCCTTAGGTTCATTTCACTGGGCAGCAAACTCAGTTTAAGATTTTCAGCTTATATCCAGGAAAGAAATACCTTGTCCAGGTTCGCTGCAAGCCAGACCACGGATTCTGGAGTGAGTGGGGCCCAGAAGGCTCCATTCACATACCTGATGGTGAGTGTCTTGGCTCCGTTTTGCTTATATCCTTAAATATTTTTAGAATAGAATGGATATAGTAAATTTGGGTGTCATCACTACTAATAGAGAAACTATTTTGAGCCTTACTAAGAGGGATGAGTAGAGGTACGAGTATCGTTTCTCTACCCAACACAAAGACACTTGGAAGTGTAGCAGTGTTGCGGTCACTGTCGGTGAGGACCAGTTTCTAAAGCTGCAGACATGGGCTTGGTGTGCATCAGAGGGCTTGATGGTCATTCTGCCTTCCCCGTCTGCCCATCCTTGTCATTTAGTCAAGGTCATCATCTAGTTCTCCCAGAATTTATAAGGTGGTTTCCCATCATAAGGGCCTGAGCTGAACTGATTTTCAGTCTCTCATGTCAATTCCACATTGGTCTCTTAGTTACAGCACAGTAAGTGAGAGGCCCATGATCCTAACAGTGCCATTAAACATGGCGCCTTGGATTTCAGAAGAGAACAATTCATCGTGCATGTCCAAAGTACTTTACGGTTTACAAAGTCTTCCCCTTGTTTGGTCCTCCCAACCCTCTGAGGTATTCAGAGAGAATAGACTTGCCATTAAGAATTCAAAGTGAGGAGACTGAAATTTGGTGAGGTTAGAAGTCTTGCCCAGAACCAAGTGGCAAAGCCTAGTGCTTGTGACAACTTGCCTGGCCAGAGTATCAGGAGTTGCATTGGTTTGTCGTACTGGAAAGAGCTGTGGGTCATAAGACGTACATGCATCCTGTCCAGCCCTGGCTCTCACCATATAAAAGCACAGGGTCTACAGGCAGAAGGCCTAGATTCAAATCCCAGCCTACAACTTTACAGTAACATGCTAACGAGTATATCATGCTTGCAGTGGTTCTCAACCTTCCTAATGCCACAACCCTTTAATACAGTTCCTCATTTTGTGGTGACCCCCAACCATAAAATTATTCTCTTTTTTCTTAATTTTTTTTATTGCTTTCAGAGAGGAAGGGAGAGAGAGAGAGAGAGATAGAAACATCAATGATGAGAGAAAAATCACTGATTGACTGCCTCCTGCCAACCCCCTACTGCAGATCAAGCCCGCAACCCAAGCATGTGCCCTTGACCAGACTCGAACCCAGGACCCTTCAATCCACAGGCCAATGCTCTATCCACTGAGCCAAACTGGCTAGGGCTCACCTGTAAAGACTTTTTTTTTTATTTCTTAAAGTATTACAAAGAATATTATCCATGTTTCCTTTTTTTTCCCCCCCTTGACATTCCCCCGGCTTCCCCCACCCCCCAGTGTCTTGTGTCCATTAGTTATTCTCATATGCATGCATACAAGTCCTTCGGTTGATCTCCTACCCTCCCGCCAACCCTCCCCAGGATTCCCACTGTAGTTTGACATTGCTGCTCGATGCTGCTCTGCCTCTGTATCCATTTTTGTTCATCAGTCTATAATGGTCCTTATTATCCATAAATGAGTGAGTTCATGTGGTATTTTTCTCAGCTTCCCAGGGGCCGTCCCAGCCTCACAGGGGTCGTCCCAGCCTCACAGGGGCCATATCAGCTTCCCAGGGGCCGTCCCAGCCCCACAGGGGCCGTCCCAGCATCACAGGGGCTGTCCCAGCCTCACAGGGGCCGTCTCAGCATCACAGGGGCTGTCCCAGCCTCACAGGGGCCGTCTCAGCCTCACAGGGGCTGTCTCAGCCTCACAGGGGCCGCTTCAACCTCACAGGGGCCGTTTCAACCTCACCGGGGCCGTTTCAACCTCACCGGGGCTGTTGCAAGTGCACCGGGGCCGTTGCCAGCTCACCAGGGCCATCTCAACCTCACCAGAGCCTTCTCAACCTCACTGGGGCCGTCTCAACCTCACCGGGGCCTACTCAACCTCACCGGGGCCGTCTCGACCTCACCGGTGCAGTCTCGACCTCACCAGTGCCGTATCAACCTCACCGGGGCCAATTCAACCTCACCGGGGCCGTCCCAGCCTCGCCGGGGCCGTCTCAACCTCACCGGGGCCGTCCCAGCCTCACAGGGGCCATCTCAGCCTCACAGGGGCCGTCTCAACCTCTCAGGGGCCGTTTCAACCTCACCGGGGCCATCTCAACCTCACCAGGGCCATCTCAACCTCACCAGGGCCGTTTCAGCCTCACCGGGGCCGTTTCAGCCTCACCGGGGCCGATTCAACATCACCGGGGCCGATTCAACATCACCAGGGCCATCTCGACCACACCGGGGCCAATTCAACCTCACTGGGGCCGTCTCAACCTCACCGGGGCCAATTCAACCTCACCAGGGCCGTCTCGACCTCACCGGGGCCAATTCAACCTCACCGGGGCTGTCTAAGCCTCACCGGGGCCATCTCAGCCTCACCGGGGCCATTTCAGCCTCACTGGGGCCGTTTCAGCCTCACCGGGGCCGATTCAACCTCACTGGGGCCGTTTCAACCTCACCGGGGCCGTTTCGACCTCACCGGGGCCATTTTGACCTCACCGGGGCCGTCTCGACCTCACTGGGGCCGTCTCAGCCTCACCAGGGCAGTTTCAGCCTCACCAGGGCCATCTCAACCCCACCGGGGCCGTTCTCAACCCCACCGGGGCCGTCCCACCCCTATCGGGGCTGTCCCAGCCTCACCGGGGTCGCCTCAGCCTCACCGGGGCCGTTCCAGCCTCTCAGGGGCTGTCCCAGTCCCACGGGGGCCACCTCGGCCTCACGGGGGCATCTCAGCAACACGAAGTTTGGCATTCTGTCCTTTGTTGGGCGGCTCCTTGCTGGACAAAATCTCCAGGCGTTCCTGGTAGCTGAATATCTGGTATGCTTGCTTGGATTTCATTTTCTACTAAGTGCACAGACTGCCTGTCTGCCATCTCCCAGCATCCCATGTGAGACTGGATCTGGTGGACCTGCCTGTGCGTTTGCTGGTACAGCGGTTCCACGTCGCCGGCCCAGCCGGGTCCGGCTCCGGCTTCCTCCGAACCTGAATCTGCTTCTTGAGTGTGTCCCTTATGTATGCGAGGAGTTGAAACCTGCATTCTGCTGGGCTGGGCTGCAAAAACGCCAGTGGTTCTCTTTTTGCCACTAGCACAGCTTGGGTGGGGATGTAAATTGAGTAGAGCAGGGGTCCCCGGGAATCACCAGGGCGGGTCCAAGGGCAATGGCATCTCCACGTCTCCTCGCCTCTCTGTGACTCAGCGTCTCGCATCCCCGAGTGCCGGAGAGCAGTTCCATGAGACAGCCACTCTCGCTCTCCGGCCCATTGCAAGGCCGTCCCGCCTCTCCCTGTAGGGGTCTGGGACCTCAGAATTCCGCCCCAAACAAGCTCAGTGGGCTCGAGAGTCTGCAGCCCCTTCCAATTGAAAAAAACCACGCATCCAGTTGCAGCCCGCCTGGCGCGCAATTCCGTACCTCCGTTCTTGGAGCCTCTGCACAGCCTACTCAGTCTCAATGCTCTTCTTTCTTTCCTTCCAGTTGTAGAGCTTCCGCTGGGCCAGCTTTCCCATGGTTCTGAATGATAACTGTTTGTTTTATAGTTGGTAGTCTCGATGTTGTTGTGGGAGGCAGCATGCTCAGGTCTGTACCTTACGCCGCCATCTTGGTTCTCTCCATAAAATTATTTTCATTGCTACTTTATAACTGTAATTTTGCTACTGTTATGAATCGTAATGTAAACATCTGATATGCAGGATGTATTTTCATTGTTTGCGACCCACAGTTTGAGAACCGCTGCCTCATCTTTGTTTAGAGCCTCATCTTTACATGCAAGACAATATACTAATATGTAAAGAGCTTAACACTGTCAATGGCTTTTAGTAAGAACTTAAGTAATACCTTTTATTATTACTGAAACTACCCGGTGACCTTGGCTTTCCTCTTTAAGTAGCAAATAAAATAACATGTAAAATGATTTTAAAAGTATAGGTTACTATAAAAATACATGGAATATATTGAAATGTAATAAATTTGAAAAATTAACCCAGCATTAATGTTACTCTGGATTGCTGTCCAAATCAAAAGAGGTGTACGAAGTGGGGTGGCGGAGGGGGGAGACTTACCTTCAAAAGTTTCATTCATTAGTTTAGTTTGTTCGCTCATATTTAATGATGCTATATGTGATGAGAGCTTTCTGGCTGTTTCTTTTTAGATTCCACCAATACAGACACCACCGTGTGGATCTTTGTGGCTGTGCTTTCTGTTGTCGTCTGTCTGATTATGGTCTGGGCAGTGGCTATGAAGGGCTATAGGTACTTCATTGTCTATCAACCTTCCTCCCACCATGGTTTATGGGATAATGATTTTTTTTTTTAAAGGCGAAAGCAAGATGATGGAAACTTACAGATAATTCAAGCACCTGATTTTAGCCATTAGCTCCAGTGTGCTACCCATAGGAAAATCTTGTCAGTACCAGCAAAAGTCGCAGAATGAACTCATTTGAAGCTGGTGCTCTTTCCATCAAACTGAGGCTTGCAGTTGGAAAATAGTAAAAAAAAAAAAAAATAAAATAAAATAAAAAAAAATCTGGCAAGAGCAGCTAAAATCAAGAGGAACAGCTAGTGCAAATAATCCACTAATTTACAAATCAGCCCCTCAGTCAGCCAGAGCTAATTTTGATGTTGGCCTCTATAATTATTGTCTTCACCACTGATTGTCAATTTCATGTAGCCCCGCCCCCTCTCCCGCTCCCAGTTTTAACTCCTTTCTACCATAGTCCGTGTAGCAGCTATTTATAGGTAATACTAACCTTTTAGAAATTACAAAGTGATCAAATGAGTCATTTTTTCTATCTCACGCATTATTTTACAGCATGCTGACCTGCGTCTTTCCACCAGTTCCTGGGCCAAAAATAAAAGGACTGGATATTCATCTGCTGGAGGTAAGTGCCAGAGGTGGAGCATGTCTCCTGCCTCTACAATAACGTCTACAATAACGACCTTTACACATGCACACACAGTCCCCATCCGTTCGGCCTGGCTGCCTCAGTCACCCTTGCCCTGCTGTCCCTCCTCTTTAGAGAAAGATGCGTGAGGCATGTGGGTCCTTCCTAGGAGACATTAAATGTCAGAGGGAAGAGAGAGGAAGCCAAGAAAATGAGACAAAACATAGTCATGCTTTCTAGACTTACCAGGTCTATTCATAAGCACAGATGTGAACATTCTGTACAAATAATCAATTTAGAAAAAAAGGTGAATATTTTGTTTAATACAAAAAAGGGACCTACCGCCCCCCTGCCCTCCATCACACTTTGGTGCAAGCTTTCACTTGAATGTTCTTTACAGAAGGTCATGGTGACAGAATAGCCTGCTGCGTTGTTCTCTCTGTTTGGGCCCACAGTTGAGACTGGGTCAGCGCAGTGGGCTGGTGTCTGCCAGGGCCCATTTAGGCTGATTCAAGTGGGAATTAAATGTAAGTGTTTTGAATGAAAAAGTGGGTTAGAACATTTTAAATTTCTCTGCAGGTTGAAATATTTAGTTTCAATTTGACCTTAAGTTTAACACCGATATTTATACAAGCAATTGCCTTTGCAATATATCATGTGACCTAGCCACTGTGAGGCTAACAGTACAAGAATGTGAGAAGTGAGTCCCCGAGAATTTGGCTTGACTACATTCACTTTGACTGCAAATATCATAGCAGGGACTCAGGCCCTGAAATTTGGGTTCCTCGTTCAGTGCTTTAACCCTACTGTCCTTTGAAAACCAGCATGAACATCTCAACTAACTAAATTAAGAACTACTTGACCTTATAGTCACAGGAGCTTAATGAAAAAAATAACTTCTTTTTGTGTCACAAACAAACAAAAAAGAGTCATTGTTTTCTCAATCACATGACCTCCAATCCTCAAAAGAAGCCTCCCATATGACACTGTTATTCCCATTTTACAAATGGAGAAGCTGAGAACCATTGAGCAGCCTGTTCAAAGTCAATACCCATTAGTAAATGAAAAAGCCAAGATTTAGGCACAAGTGCCTGCCCTAAGTCAGAGGATCAGGAAGAAGAGTGGAAAGGAAGAGGAGAAGGCAAAAGGAAGAACGAGGGAGAAAGAGAAAGAGGAGGGAAAGGAAGAGCAAGAGAATGGGAATATACATACTAGCAGGAAGAGAGAGGGGAAATGCAGTAAAGAAGAGAGAAAAGGTGGATTGGAGAGGAAGGGGACAGAAGGAAGGAATACAGAAGTAGGAAGAGGAAATGATGAGAAGCAACTTAACTGCTTCCAGATTCTAGAAAGTAGTGGAGGAGGTTAGGAGACCAGCAGCCAGATCTTAGAGCCTCTGAGTCCCAGAGTAAACGTTTCTTCTTTAACAGTTATGTTTCTCATCTGTGCATATACTGCTGCCCATTAAACTCATGGTCATTACTGCTTAGAGAGAGACGAAGTTAAAATCATGAATTGACTTAAAGAAAAATATTAGATGAATAGAAGTCTAGGAGGTGATTATAGATGGCCTGGTGCGCAAATGTCTACGGTTTGGGAAGTGCTGCTAGACCAGCCGTGGGCAAACTACGGCCCGCGGGCCGGATCCGGCCCATTTGAAATGAATAAAACTATTGAAAAAAAAGACCGTACCCTTTTATGTAATGATGTTTACTTTGAATTTATATTAGTTCACACAAACACTCCATCCATGCTTTTGTTCCGGCCCTCCGGTCCAGTTTAAGAACCCATTGTGGCCCTCAAGTCAAAAAGTTTGCCCACCCCTGTGCTAGACGGTTACAGCTTCCAGCTGCCCGTGGCCGTGAGCACAGCTGCGCTTTGGTGCTGGTTTGGAATGTTCTGAAGCTCACAGCCCTTCTTTGTGTGTCTGTTTTAACAGAGGGGCAAGTCTGAAGAACTGCTGAGTGCCCTGGGGTGCCAGGACTTCCCCTCTGACTGTGAGGACTTGCTGGTGGAGCTGTTAGAAGTCGTTGACAGCGAGAACCAGCAACCGGTGCAAGTCCATTCAAAAGAACACCCCGATCCAGGGCTGAAGCCCACACCCCTGGACCCCGACAGTGACTCTGGCCAAGGCAGCTGTGACAGCCCTTCCCTTTTGTCCAACAATCGTGAGGGGTCCCAGGAAAGTCCCTCCACAGTCCACACTCCTGGGGGCATTAAGGAGCCAGAGAACCCTGAAGGAAATGGTGCCCACACCTGGGACTCTCAGAGCACCAGCGTGGAAGGCCGAGTCCCCAGTGTCTGTGCTGATGGACCCAAATCTTCAACATGGCCTTCATCGCAGCCCCCCAACCAGCACAACCCCAGATCGTCTTACCACAGCATCGCTGATGTGTGTAAGCTGGACCCGGGCACGGCAGGTTCCTCTGCCACCGTGTTGGACAAAACAGACAAGTGTGCTCTAACGTCTTTGGAAACCACTGAGACTGGCGGGGAGGAGAAGGCAGCCGAGCAGAGGGGGGTGAAAAGCTTCCATGCCAAGACTGACCCAGACACCCCGTGGCTACTGCCCCAGGAGGACACCTCCGTTATCTCTGCTAAACCCTTGGATTACGTGGAGATTCACAAGGTCAACAAAGATGGAGCATTGTCATTGTTCCCCAAACAAGAAGAGAACGGCAACCAGGCAGAGAAGGCCGGCGCTCCTAAGACCAGCAAGGAGTACGCGAAGGTGGCCGGGGTGGTGGAGAGCAGCATCCTGGTGCTGGTGCAGGACCCGCCCGCCCCCGACCTGGCTTTGTTTGAAGAACCAGCCGAGGAAGCCCCACCCTCCTTGCCACAGAATCAAGAGGAGAAAGACCTGGCCGCCTTCGCCATGACATCGAGCAACTGCAGACTGGGGGGGCTGGATTACCTCGACCCCGCGTGCTTAAAGCACTCTTTCCAGTGACGGCTTGATCTTTGGCATGGTTGGTTAAAATGTGATTTTTCTTCAGGTACTGCTACAGCGCACATGAAATGTCCTCTCCTAGAGAATGTTCGAGAATGGGGTTCGAATGACACTACTAAAACTCACAGTTCACTCTTCTTCATGCTCCATTTTCAACCAGTGGCCTCTTTTTCCAACAGCTGATTCCGGATTGGATCATTTTGTTTCCTGTGATTTGCTGATCTAGTGTTTGTTTTTAGTTATAAAATCGTATGTTCAATGCACTAGAAGTGCACTGCTTAGTATTCCTGAGGGACTGTGCCAATAGGTAAAGCCTCCGGAAAAGGCGCCCATGGCTGGGCATAGGACAGGAGGAAATGAAGGAGTTAGCATAGCCCAGCGCAGGACGATGATAGATGAGAGAAGAATGCCATGTAAGCTGCTTTTGAAAACCAGTTGCTTATCCTTTGCACTCCTCTCCTATTTTATTGAGATTAACCAAATATAACACATTACACGAAAGGATGCATTCCGGAACCGACACGTCATTTACATCACTTCCTGTTACCTTAGTGACACGTTGCTGACATGCAAGTAAAAATCATGCCTCCATTTCTTTTTCTTGAAATAGTTGGAATCAGGTAAGCCTGGATTCCCCTCTCCCAAATTGTATTTCATCCTAAAGCCTCTAGAAAATATAGTTTTGGAGAGAGATTTTCTCACACAGGAGGCAAGTGAATTTGACGTGATGGATCCTCCTAAAACGGTTTCCTGCTTCATTTCAACACAACAGATAATTTATTATACACCCTAGTCTTCTCTTAGTGGAAAAAAAAAATCCCCAAAGACTAACTTTAATTTCAAAGATAATCACAGCGGGATGGTCATGGAGATACTGCCTTACTGTACATACAGATTCTACTTTACTACAGACCCGTAAGTTTAACAATGTATTTTTGAAGACTATTTTTCTACCACTTAGGTAAAGTAAATGAGTATTTTCTATCTTCCCAGTACAGCTGTTTACGTAGTCAGAGGGTACAGTCTTTTCTGCTGAGGCTGCAGGGAGCATTTACAGTCCATAATAGTATACGCAGTCCCTATTTGTGGAGCAAATGCCATACCAACCAAAGCCCACTGAGGAGTGTGAGGTGGGTGACAAAATTCAATTTCCAATACAGCATAGTATAGTTTACCTGATTCTTTTATCTCCAGATACACTAACCAACAATCACCAATAGTGTGTTAGGACTCTCCACACACAGAAATTTTTTCTCCTGTAATTTAGGGCTAATCTGGGGCTCCTGCTCTTCTCTGGGTGAATATTCTAGAAGTCATCATGAAAAAGGAGGGTGGTGACATCCAGCATACTGTTTTAGAGAGAGAGTTTTGTTTTGCTTTGTTTTTCTGAGCAATCTAGGACAGCAAAGATATTTTCAGCAAAGCCATGAGTTAGTTATCTCTCTGGAGTAGATCCATTTGCAAAATCTTGGCAGAGACAACATTCACGTCAGAAGTTTCCAAATAAATGGTTTGAGAAACAGCACCTGTGGAGTGGTGGGCACAGCTACAAAGACCAGGGTCTGGTAGTAAGAATCTCTGAGTCAGTGCCAGGGGCAGGCTCCCCAGAAGGATCAGAAGCCTGGATCTCCATCTTAAAGAGAGCTTCCATAACTCATGAGCTGCCTCCCTCTCTTGTTTATTCCACCTGATGGCAAATCCTTTCTCTCTGTCCACTCCCCAGCTGGGCTTAGAGAATCTGAGCTCACCTCTGTGAGTTAAGTATTCCACCCAACAAGCCCATGTTGATGGGAACTGGAGGCAGAGGTGACCTGATGGTAGAAAGCGAATACACTGTCCTGGCGTCCAGATTGCAGAAATAATAGACCTGAGGCTCTGTTCTCCCAATACATCAACATCGTAAGGGTACGCGGAACATTTGGAAAAGTTGTCCCCAAGTTCATTCAGCCTCCTAGATCCGTGGTCAGCAAACTGCGGCTCGCGAGCCACATGCGGCTCTTTGGCCCCTTGAGTGTGGCTCTTCCTAAGCCTTAGGAGTACCCTAATTAAGTTAATAACAGTGTACCTACCTATATAGTTTAAGTTTAAAAAATTTGGCTCTCAAAAGAAATTTCAATCGTTGTACTATTGATATTTGGCTCTGTTGACTAATGAGTTTGCCGACCACTATCCTAGATCCTTGCTACTTAAAGTCTGGCCTGAGGACCAGCTGTGTCATCATCACCTGAGCTCTGCATGGAAATGCAGACCTCAGTCTCCCTGGCCCAGAACTACAGAGTCAGAACCTGCATTTGACTAAGTTCCCCAGGTGACCCCTGTGGGTAATGAAGTTTGAGAAGTACCGCCCTCCATGATCACTTCTCCTAAAGGCTGTTTTAGCACATGGAAACTCCTCTCTCGGAAAGTACAAGTCAAGTCTGTTTGACTTTCACTGGACAACACTGTGTGTAAGGAGAAGGCATAATTTTTTAAGATCTATCTGTACTTTAAGATTCACATGATGGCACAGAATGACCTGCGAAAGTACACACAACTTCTAAGAGGGCCAAGGGATATAGTCCACCTTGAGTAGCATTGACCAAGACTCTGCCCTTCAAAGCCAATGCAGACTAAAATGTTCCCCAAATAGGCCATTGTTCTCCAAGATGTATATCAATCACTCTGGTAGCTTGCAAATTAAAAAATAATCTGATTTTGGTATTCATGAAGAAATGTTATGGGTAAAGAGTCAACTTGAACTGAATTCCTATAAAAACACCAATTAGCCACTCACTAAGTCAAGCCAAGACTATATTTCTTTGTCAGTTAGGACTCGTATTTGAATTTAAGTGTTTTTTTCCCATGGGTAGAATATTTTCTATCTAGGAAACAGCTAGTCGGATGGAAAGATGCAGGTTGTGGGTCAAGAGTCCCAGGCTCTAGTCCTAACTATGTCACATTGAACAGATCAATTCCCTTCTCTGGGCCCCAGTTTCCTCTGAAAGAAATATTGGTCCAAATAAATTCTAATGTCCTTTCAAACTCCAACTCCCTGATTCCATGACTCACTATTTTCTAGCCAAGATAATTTAACCAATAAATGCCTTGTATCTTGCTGACAACTAATTGCCCTTCACCGTAGGAGTGCAAGTACCTTCAATGATGTGCGGATGGTTCCCTTTTTGATCATCAGTTCCAATTGGTCCTAACATACCGCACTGTGTATTTTATAAATTACGTAGGTACAGAATCATAGTCTCAGATTGTGTGCAAATATGTGTGTAGCGAGAAGAAGAGGCATGAGATTTTTTAAAAAGACATTTTGAATGTGGCTCTACTCTTTAGAAAAACGATCTTTTGCTGAATCAAGCCATGCTTACTTCTTGCTGAGTCCAGCAGCCCCACATCCCCTTTCTTACAGCTGGCTGCTGATTCTGGCATTCTTTTCTCTCTCCTAGATTACCAACCAACATTGCACAGTTGGTGTAATTTTCTGAATTATGAAAAGTCGCATTTTATAAACAAAAGCCTAAATATTCATGTTACGAAGCACATGGAAAAGGGATAGCCATTGGGTGATATAGGGAAGCCTATGGCCCAAACTGCAAATGTGCTGTGGTCGGTTTTTACAAATGGGTATTAGGCACCTCAACATGAGCACAAGTTCTTCTCAGCCATGTCATTGACACTTAGCTGACTCTTCTTTCTCCTAAGTGCCTCAGGCCAACCCTGGTTGGCAGTTATGGATTGAAAACTTGCCTTCACCGGTTTAGGTCCATCTCTTAGCACCTGTGCAAGCCAAGGAGTTTGACTGCTTTTCCCATGGTGACCCAACTGAATCAGAGAGTCCTGAGAGTTAAGGGGCGGCTGGAGGCTGTGGAGGAAATCTGGCTCTTTCGCTGGCTGCCCGCGGCTGCCCATCGCTTCCAGAAAGACGTGGCCCTGCCTTCAGAAACTTCCCTATCTCCTTAGAGTAGACGAGAAAGAAACAGATTTGTACGCATTCTACAAAGTGCCTTTCTTTACTTTTATATTTTTTTAATGTTTCCTTTTCACAAAAAGTGTATTGATTGGAAAGTAAACTTTCCTTTTTTTATGTAAATGAATGAAGAGGCCAGAATGGAATGATGAAATGGTCTAAAGTCCAACCAGCAACTGCTCAGAGGCTGTTTAAATTTATAGTGTAACTGAATGACCACTGAGTCGATGTGAATCCTGTGACTTCCTTTGATAAGCAGTTGACTCTGGCTAGGGTGTAGGGAGTCAGCCTGCCTCCCCCAGTCTTCAGCTTACAAGCACATTGATGCCCTTATGAAAGGCTGTGAATTGCGTGCCTGGCCCTGAAAAGGCAATGCACACACAATGGAACTGTGCACAGACAAGAGAATGTGAAGGACTCTAGGTTACCCCCCCGTGCTGGCTCATGCAGACTTGCCATTGATAAAGACGCCATGTGTACGTCAGTGAACATATCTCCTTTTCTGCCTTTCAGCTGCGGCACAATTGTGTTGTTGCTAGGGTAGCGGTTGAGCGTTCAGTTTCCAGGTCTAGGGCACATTGCTGCCACTAAACAGGCTGTTGACTTGATGCAAATCCTTTGAACTCTAGCCACCATTTTCCTCACCTATTAAATATGTAGGTTGGCCTAAAATCTTTCAAAGACCGTGTTACAACTCTAACCGTCTCTGACTTTCATGATCTAAGTAAAATCTAGGGTTTCTGGTGAAAGGCCCAAGTACAATCAGAGAAACATTGTTGCTGTGCCCTTAACCTGAAGCAGTGAACAGTGTGGCTGGAGCAATGTTTGAGAGAAAAATAGAGATCCATCCCTCCCAGTCAGATGGACTTGATTTAGCATCCTTGCTTCTCTTCGTGATTGTCCATACTTGTAGGCTCTTTCTTCTCTCGCTGCAGGGCCTATAGTTACTCATGGCTGTAGCAACTTTAAGAACTGCAAAAAAAAAACCTGAATTATCCCTAAACAATGACAATGGCCCTGCAAAAGACTGAGTCAGGTGTTGTCAGCCACCCAGCCATCAAGGCCCAGGTTGAGGGTCATAAGTAACCTAAGTTGGAGATTTGCATGCTTAGAGATTCTAGCTCTATTCATTAATTACTAAAGTAACTCAAAAGCCATTCATAAATCCAAGCGACATTGACAGCTCGGTCCTAGAGGTCTTAAACAGAAACTTAACGCTATAGAATGATTGCTGAGGGCTGGTGGTCTCACCAGGAGTTCTATGTCTAAGTATGGCTTGGATGTGTCCCACGATGTGTGAATCAAGTGGGAGCTCTCTCCTCAGACTGGTGTTTTTCAGGAAGGTGGTTTTTGGCCTGAGATCCTCATAGCATCTATTTCAAAGAAAGGAAAAAGATCGAAAATAGAACATTTTCAGAGGTTTGGGCATCTCGGGAGTCCATTAAATGCTAAACCCAAATTTTATGAAACCTGGTGAATCCATAATCTATTCAGTGTTCTGAATTGAGATGTACATAACTCACAACACCATAGGCCCATGGATTCCTTTGACCTCTGCTCTGATTTCAAGTCAGGATGAGCTGAGACGTGCAGAGTGGTAAAACATATCTTATTCATATGACGTGGCCAATGAATAGAGAGAGACCTTGGATAGTCTTAGTCTATTAGTTAAGTTTCACCTGCTTCTGATTAAACAGAAAAAACAATTAACTCACAAAACTTTGGCTACGGAAGTAGTAATAACAAAAATAATATTTAATAGCTGTGGTCAAATTATGCGTCACCTGGATAAACTTCAAAATATAGTCTGAGTTTTTCCATGCAAATTTCACAAGTCCTGGAGGGAAAGAAAGCATTTTTTTGTTATGCTATCTGAAATTGGAAAACTACATGGCAGAGATACTTCTGAGAAATAATTTGTTTTGTAAAATTCCTGATGAAATGGTTTTTTAATTTTTCAAAATAACTACCTCCCCTTCTTGTCCTAATGTCCTTTCTTCAAAGCTGCTTATTGTTAGAACGAAGGGTGTCACGTCTCATGCTTCAACTCTTTTTCAGTGGTATATTTGTTGTATTTGCCAGGTGATATTCCTGACTTTAAAGCAACTATTATATTATTTTACATTGTCATGCTTTATGTGGTTCAAAAACCCTAAGACACATTGAAATACTAGTGTATAGTCAATCCTCATGTTGTGAAACTCATGTTACACAAACAAAAATAATTATTTAATGACTTACAATCTATTCATATGTAGTTTCAATATGATTGTGTCTGTGTCTGTAAAACAAAACTGAAGGAAATATGTAATCATACAATTCTGTTGAAACCGTGACTACACTAATTTTTTTCTTAATCTTTGTGTAGAAGTAGTATAATATGCCATTTGTACAGCTGAGCTGGGCTGTTAAGTGTTTAAAGTACAACCAACAATTGTTTGAAAGTCAACCAAGCCCTCAGCTTTGCTTCGCGTGACCTCTGATGCTTCTTGAGTGTTACTTGCATCATGGGGCCTGCTTTTGTGCTTGATCGTTCATTTTTTTTTAAATTTCAGAGTCTCGTGTGGAAACCAAAGCAATGTTGAAGCAGCCTGTGTCTTCTGTAAAGCCATATTGAAGTAAAGACTGTGTAATAGCATAAAGTTCCATATTTTCAAAGCTACCACTACCTCTGCTTTGTCTCTTTCCTAGAAAATGCCAAGCAGAATTCTTCACCATTAAGTGGAAAACTAGAAGCCATTGTTACAAAAGCTGTTGGACAGTTGTGTTTGTTTGTTTGCTTGTTTTTACATGAGACAACACCTTCTAATTCACCATTTTGCAGGTTTATGCTAGGTTGTCTCAAGAGCCATTTCTACATCTACTAAAAACTGGATGATGAATAAGGACCAGAAAGAACACATAGTCACTGATGAAAAACCAATAAAACCAGAGAGCAGACTTGTTTCCTAACCATAAATCACCTGTTGCCCAAAGTCATGATGATGTTATCTCTCAGTTTGATTTCCCCAATTCCACGTAGAAATAAGTCTTTTCCTTATTTGATTTTAGACATCAAATATATTATGGTATGGGAAAAGTCAATCATATATCATAACTAATCTTGTTTCAATTTTTAAAATTTATTTATACATGTACTTATTATAATGATGATTTTTTTCTTTTTAGCCTTAAAGAATTATAGATGATAATCATCCAATTTATCCTGCATTTTTAATTCTGTAAATCTTTGGTTATTGAACCTTGTGCTTTCTGTTTTTCCATGGATTTACTCCTTTGTCTCTTTCCATTTTGAGGAGACACCGTGGACAGTTACATCTTTGTCAATCGTATGGGAGATTATGCTAACTGCTGTTACCCTAACATCTTCATCTTTTTTTGCACGCCAGAAACAATGCTTGTCAAACAAAATCGTAGACGTCCCAGTACAATACGGTCATTATATTTCTATTCATGTTATTGAAAATTCCCAGCTCAGTGCCTGGCTCAATAAATGTTTATTTCCCTTGCCTACCCTTCCTCTATTTTTTTTTTTTTATTTGACATGGAAATGAGCAGAATATCGTGTGTGTGGTTGAAACAACTTTCTTGAGGAATGTTTGCTGCAATAGGATCTGTTATCCAGAAATTGTTGGTATGCAAACAATTCCTTTTCCTCCTTTATCGTCATCCTTACTCATGGCTGCAAACATAATGGCCCCCTTTACCTGCCCTTCCACATGACAAGCTGCTCAAACTAGAGGGAGATGGAACATGAACATGGGGAGCAAATCAGAGAAGCTCATTTAGATCTTGTAAAACGGCCCTGGCTGGTCTGGCTCAGTGGATAGAGCATCAGCCTATGGACCAAAGGGTTCAGGGTTCGATACCGGTCAAAGGCACGTACCTCAGTTGCAGGTTCCTCCCTGGTCCAGGCCCTGGTCAGGGCTCATGCAGGAGGCAACCAATCGATGTATCTCTCTCACATCAATATTTCTGTCTTTCCCTCTCTCACTCTCTCTAAAAATCAATAAAAAGATATCCTCGGGTGAGGATTTTTAAAAAATTAAATATTGTAAAATAAAGGAATGACCAAACCATTAAAAAATCATAATAAATTAATTTATTTAAAGCAGCATGGATTTTCCATATTATGAACATCTTTTCTGATGAAGCCCATCAGATTAAGGGCTCTGCTCATGCTTGGGGTACAGAAATAGGAGCTGGTGTGGGTTTTGTTTTACAAACTTCTCTGCCTCCTGGTTCTTTCATGCCATGTTTTCTGGGGCCATGAAGGCTTCCCTGCGTATCACGGTCCAAAACTTGGCCTCCGTCAAACGCGGACTCTCCCGTGCTTAAGTGGGTATCATCCATCTTCAGTACTGGGGCGCACTTTCACTTTTAAGCTGCAGAATTTGGAGGGTCAGCCACCAGACACAACATTCGAATAATTTACGAGGAGCTGGAGAAGCAATATGTAGCTCGTTTTCCAAAACCATTGCGTGTGCTTTTCTAAAAGAAAACGGAAATTATGTATTGCCGCATCTTGCCAGGATTGCATTTGCAACTTTAACCCCACCCGGCTCCCTGTGACTTGCTAGCCAAGTTTTATACATTCTAAATCTCCTCTAGTTTTTAGGGATTGGGAGTAGGGGGTGTAGGGTGAAACGAGAGGGTCCAGGAAATGAGGCTCCTGCAAAGCCCCCAACAGGGACCTCACTGGCCACAGAAGCAGATTCTTGCTGATTGACCCCTGAGAACCTTTCCCAACCGCGCAGGTGGAACTGAGCCTGGTACTGATGTTGTAAAAGACATGCGACACCATAAATCTATCTACCACCTGCCCCGCCCACCGCGCTGTCCATGTTAAGGCCCTTTTCTCTTGTTACTGAGCAGGTTCACATTAAAAGTCAAGCTTATAATCTGACTTGAAGCACAGGTATTTTTTTTAAATGTGATAAAGAAATTTTTAAGAGAAAGCTGTGGGACGTTAGTCAAATAAAACACCCCATGGATGTCGGTTGGCGAGCACTAGAATAAGAAAAGGGCGCGCAGGGATTTTTGTTACTGCATGTACAGATGTGTTTGAAAGAATTTGTGTCCCAGGTACATGGTTAAGGTGACACCTTCGCTCCGTCAGTCATCGAAAATTCCAAGATGAGCTTAAATGACATCTGCCAGTAGTTTTACTTCACGTGACCAATATTGATGTTGTTACTGAACCATGTAGCCTCGTGATGCATTTTTCAATTCTCTTTCCAAGCGACTGCTTGCCATGGCCGCAATGCCTAGTTTAAACTGAACCAATAAATTGCTGCCTGAGTGATGGCTTTGGGAGGTTCTCATTATGTACTTATGAAGCATGTATTTTATGGGGGAAAAAATGTAACTTTCAGAAATTTGTCTTGGCTTCAACAAACTTCATTAGGACTCTAAAAAGGAGGAGAAGAAGAAAAGAACAGCATTCAAGCGTCTCTGGAAATAAAGCACCCACACACATGCTAAAATCTGTGTCTTAGAACACCCACCCAAGGCATTGTTTTCAGGCACACATCCTGTGTGCTCGTCTTTCAACACATTCTCTCATTTTATTTTCCTGCTAATTCTAAATCAAAACTGACATCTTGCTTCCAAGCCAGCTGAATTCTCCATCTTCTCTTTTCCCCGTCTTCACTTAGGTGCCAGACCCCAGCCTTAAACGCGCACACATGCTTGGAAGCACTCAGGAGTTCCTGGGGCTTCTGGGAACAACGGGAACAATCAGAAGGACACGTTCCAAATCTGACAAACACTCAACATTCCCAAAGGAGACTTAGGCCATAAGCCTCAGTGCCAAGGAGCCACACTTCCTTTTGTTTGCTTCTTCCTACCTAGAATTATCTTCCCTCTTCACATGAAACTCTAGTTGTGATTGAATCTGCCACTTATGATCTTTTCTTTATTGCATAAAATATTTTGCACACACTTGAAAACTACGGAGTGATGCAACTATCCACTTACCAACACTTATTATTATTATTAATTTTATTATATTATTTTATTATATTATTATTATTAATTTGTTTCACAAATTAATATTTCATCACATCTGTCCTCTACCATTCTATATAATAAAGAGGTAATATGCAAATTGACCCTCACACCCTCGCACAAGATGGCTGCCCCCATGTGTTCAAAGATGGCCACCACAAGATGGCTGGCAGGGGAGGGTAGTTGTGGGCAATCAGGACAGCAGGGGAGAGCAATTAGGGGTGACAGGGCTGGCAGGGGAGGGCAGTTGAGGGAGATCGGGCCAGCCGGGGAGGATAGTTGGGGGCAATTGGGCCGGCAGGGGAGCAGTTAAGTGTCGATCAGGCTGGCAGGGGTGTGTTTAGGGGGTGATCAGGCAGGCAGGCAAGCAGTTGGGAGCCAGCAATCCTGGATTGTGAGAGGGATGTCTGACTGCCAGTTTAGGCCCAATCCCACAGGGACATCCCTGGAGGGTCCCAGATTGGAGAGGGTGCAGGCTGGGCTGAGGGACACCCCCCCCCCCAAGTGCATAAATTTCATGCACTGAGCCTCTAGTTTTTTAAATAAATGAAACATCACAGATGCAGTAATATTCATCTCTCAGTAACCAAATTTTTGTCTTTCTCTCCAGAGGTAATCACAGTCTTGTAGCTGTTGTGTATTCTTCCTGGCCATTTAAGAAATGCTTCTTTTTTTTTAATATATTTTATTGATTTTTTACAGAGAGGAAGGGAGAGAGATAGAGAGTTAGAAACATCGATGAGAGAGAAACATCGATCAGCTGCCTCTTGCACATCTCCCACTGGGGATGTGCCCACAACCCAGGTACATGCCCTTGACTGGAATCAGACCTGGGACCCTCCAGTCCGCAGGCCGACGCTCTATCCACTGAGCCAAACCAGTTTTGGCAAGAAATGCTTCTTTATGTGTATCTGTAACCAGACAACCAAGGGGTCCGGCTGCCTGTCACTACTTGAGCCAACTTAGCAGAGACAGGGATGAATCATATATGAGCGTTTATTCTAATACTGGCAGCACAGGAGAGCAGCCACCTGCTCTGCCCCCACCATAAGCCAGCTGCTTTTATATATCCTATCTAATAAAAGAGAAACATGGAAATTAGCATACGACCGCTACCCTTCCCATTGGCTAATCAGGGAGATATGCAAATTACCTGCCAGCCAAGATGGAGGCCGGCAGCCAGGCAGCTTGAAACTAACATGAGGCTTGCTTGCTTCAGTGACGGAGGAAACCAACTTTCCCCGCCTGCCTTGCCAGCCTCTGAGCCTGCAGTTTGAAATATTGTAACAAATATAGAAGCTAAACAAAACCCCAGGAACCTGCTTTCAGCGAGCCTGGATCTCAGAGCTGGAGTTACACATTGTTTCGATTATAGAACACAAACAAACCAGATACCTGCTTTCAGCAGCAGAAGCCTCAGAGCTGGAGCCAGAGCTAAAGCTGGCCCAGAATAAAAAAAGAAAAGAAAAAAAGGAGCAGTTGGGAGCTTCAGCCCTCAGCCCCTCAACCAGACTGGCCAGCACCCCAGTGGGGACTCCCACCCTGAAGGGTGTGTGACCAGCTGCAAACAGCCATCATCCCCTCACCCAGGCTGGCCAGGCACCCCAGTGGGGACCCACACCCTGATCCAGGACACCCTTCAGGGCAAACCAGCAGGCCCCACCCGTGCACCAGGCCTCTACCCTATATAGTAAAAGGGTAATATGCCTCCCAGCACCGGGATCAGCGGAGCCGCGAGGCCTCCCAGCACTGGGATCAGTGTGACAGGGGGCAGCGCCCAAACCCCCTGATCGCCCTGTGCTCTGTGTGTGACAGGGGGTGGGGCCACAACCTCCCTATCGGCTTTGCTCTGTTCGTGACAGGGGAAGGCGCCCAAACCCCCTGATCAGCCCTGCTCTGTGCCTGATAGGGGGGAGCTCCCCAACCCCCTGATTGCCCTGAGGCTCTGTGTGTGACAGGGTGCAGCACCCCAACCCCCTGATCAGCCCTGCTCTGTGTGTGACAGGGTGTGGCGCCCCAAGACCCCCCCCCCCCCCGCCACGGGCCCTGCTCTGTGTGTGACAGGGTAGAGCCATAACCTCCCCATCGGCCCTGCCCTGAGTGTGACAGTGGCGGTGCCCCAACCCCCTGATCTGCCCTGCTCTGTGTGTGACAGGGGGCAGTGCCCCAACTCCCCTATCGGCCCTACTCTGTGAGTGACAGAGGGGAGCTCCTCAACCCCCTGATGGGCCCTGCTCTGTGCATGACAGGGGGTGGCGCCACAACCTCCCCATCGACCCTGCCTTGAGTGTGACAGGGGGTGGTGCCCCAACCCCCCAATTGGCCCTACCCTGAGCGTGACTGAGGGTGGCATCTCAACCTCCCGATCCGCCCTGCTCTGTGCATGACACGAGGTGGCACCCCAACTCCCCAATTGGCCCTGCTCTGAGCCCGACCAGGGGCTGCACCTAGGGATTGGGCCTGCCCTCTGCAACCCGGGAGCAGGCCTAAGCCAGCAGGTTGTT